CTCAGTTTGGGCCCTCTTTGCAGAGATCTGGGCTTGGCAGCACCTATCCTTTGGGTCCTCAATAGCGTCTTTAACCTCTGACCTTGCCCCCCTTCTCCACCCAGGGATTAATTAGTGGGCAGCCCACTGGCAGGTTAATGAGTGTGGGATCAATTGGGAGGGTGGGAGGGTGAAGTGGTAGGGGGCTGGCCTGGGGTGTGGGGGTTTCCAGAATTGGGAGACTGGGAGTGCCTTGGTTCTCTTCCCTGGCCCTTCCTCCAGCCTTGTCTCGCCTCAGTTTCCCCTTCCTTCAGGCAGGAAACATCCAATGTGTTCTGCAGCAGGCAGGACTGGAATTAGACCCAAGGAAGGACTTCTCGAGGGGTAGGGGGTGCTGTGGAGGAGAAGGAATTCCTTTCCAGAAATCTCAGATCCAGAAGTGAATGCAACAAGGGTCCATGAAGGGATCAGGGTGGGCGGCAGTCCATCACTTCAGTTTCTCCCCAGATTCATGGGTCCAGAAGACTGACTCATTATCTCTCTCTACAAAGCTAATTAACTCACTCCTAGAGCGGCCTGATAAGCCGCTAATTAACTGGCTGCACTGGTTCCCCCCCCCCCAACTCCCGTAGTGCAGCTGGCAGCGAAAGTCCCTCAGGCCCCCACCCCAGGGCCAGGTCAGCACCCGCGCAGGTCCCTTCCCAACCAGGGACCCTCAGTGGGGCTCCAGGGCCTTTTGCTCCCCAGGAAGGCTGGGTCATTCGGATCCCAATGGCCCCTCCCTGCCCCTTCCTCCCGGTACCCCTCCACTGGGTGGGTAGTGTGGTCTGAGCAGATCCCAGCCCCCTCTTCCCCCGGCTCTGCCTCCCTCAGGTCCCTGCGTTATTCTGCTCCCTGTGCGGGGGAGGGTGTCCCGCGGGGCCGATTATTTCCCCCCATTAATCAGACCGCAGCTAATTGTTCGGGTCCAAAGGCGGCAGCGGAAGGGGCCGAGATCGGTAAGGAATTAACTGGGGCCCATCGCTCAGCGCAGACAGGCCCCTTTGTCAGGACCGGCCGGCGGGGGCGGCGGGGACTGCGGAGTCGGCGAGCCGCGGCGGGGGCTGCTTCTTCCATTCACCATGCCCCTGCCTCCTGCAGCCACCCGGGGGCCGCTGCTTAGAGGAGTCTGGCTCTTCAGTACTGTCAGGAAGTCCTTCCTACGGTCTACCCCAGGGGGCGGCAAACTAAAGCCAGGAGGCCAAATCTAATCGCCCACGAGAAAAGAAGGGGGGTTCACATTTTTAAATAAGGGGAACATTTGAAAGACGAATAACCCTTCTGGACGTATGAAATTTGAATTTAAGAGTGTGTGAATAAAGTTTTATTGGACTAGAGCCGCGTTCATTCCTTTAAATATCCTCTATATTCTATTCCTTTAAATATCCTTTCAGCCTGCAATGGCAGAGTGGAGTAGTTCTAAGAGACTGGCCCGGAAAGCCTAAAACATTTTCCATTTGTTTGGCCCTTTACAGAAGTTTGCCACCCACTAGTCTAGCCTCCCGTCCTTCCTGCTACAGTGGAGGTTCTGGGGGCTGTGGGCCCCGCCTGCAATCCCACCTCCCCATCTCCAGGGCCTCGTCACGACAGGTCCCGGAAGCCGATTCCTCCACTCTTTGTGAATGCCGGCAGACAGGGTCTTAGTGTCCTGACTCTCTGCTCACCCCTCATCAGGGACACCCGTGAACCGTGTGCCCATCATGGCGAAGCAGGTGCTGGACCTGTACGCGCTGTTCCGCCTGGTGACGGCCAAGGGCGGTCTGGTGGAAGTCATCAATCGCAAGGTGTGGCGGGAGGTCACGCGCGGCCTCAGCCTGCCCACCACCATCACGTCGGCCGCCTTCACCCTACGCACCCAGTGAGGCCAGGCGCGCGCGAGCGGTGGGAGCGAGGCGCGGGAGCTGGGGGCCGGGGGCTTGGGGGGGCCCCCCGAGGGTTCTTGTCCGGGTGTGAGGCTTGATCAGCTGGGCCCAGCCTCCCACCCCACCCCACCCCGTCCGCTCCTAGGTACATGAAGTATCTGTACCCGTACGAATGCGAGACGCGGGCGCTCAGCTCCCCTGGGGAGCTCCAGGCTGCCATCGACAGCAACCGACGCGAGGGCCGTCGTCAGTCTTACACCGCAGCCCCGCTCTTCGGCCTGGCTGGGCAGCCACCTCGGGGCACTTCTGGCCCCGCCCCTGAGCCCGGGCCCGCCCCGCCCACGCCCGGCCCACGCTCTGCTCATGGCCCCTCCTCCGGCCTGCCGGCCCACGCCTGCGCGCAGCTAAGCCCGAGCCCCATTAAGAAAGGTGTGAGGGTACAGCGGCTGTATTTTGAGGGTCTCTGAGATCTAGAGGGGTGCTGAGATAAACGGAACATTAAAATATGGGAACTCTGAGGTCTGGGAGGCATCGAAGAATAGGGACAGTAAGGACTGATGGGCACTGAAGTTTGGTGCATGCTAAGGTTTAGGTGTCGAGATATTTGGGATCAGTGAAACGTTGGGAGCTCTGGGGTATGGGTTACCGCGCGGTGTGGGGCTGAAGCTCAGGAAAACGTCCTTTATCTAGAGCAGCTTCATTCCACACCTGTTCACTGATGACTTCTATCTGCATGTGGTTTATTCCTGCTATTTTTCCTGGACTTTTTAACAATCAAAAGGAAGGGAATCCCCCAGATTGGACCAACCTAGTCAGATATATTGGCCTTTTTGAGCTCTTCAGCTTTCAGAGCCTCTACGCTGAGACTGGATGGGAGGGGAGATTGAATTTTGTGCTTGAACTTGGGTAACCTCCCTTGGTTCCAGGCCTGTGGGGAGAACTAGACGCAGGGACAGTGTTGTTTGGGCCAGAGGAGCTAAATAATGTTTGTTTTTTTTTTTTCAGAGGAGAGCAGAATTCCCACCCCTCGACTGGCACTGCCTGTGGGCCTGGCCTTTGGACCTACACGTGAGAAGGTGGCACCAGAGGAACCCCCAGAGAAGAGGGCTGTGCTGATGGGGCCCATGGACCTACCTCGACACGGCGCACCCCCCAGTTTCCTGCCCCGTGGCAAGGTTCCGCTTAGGGGTGAGGAGGGACTTGTTGCTGAGAGGGCTTAGGGCCTGTGCAATGAGGGAGGACAGACTCATCACCCAATAGGCATTGGAGGTAGGGCAGATAGATCCCTCAGTAGATACTTCTGTGATTACAGGTGTGGGGCTGAAGTGGGATGGGGGCTGTCTACAGGGATGGAGGGGGGAGCTTGTAGCTGAAATCTAATTCCCCAAAATGTGACTCCCTGCTCCCTCCGGGACAGAAGAGCAGCTGGATGGGCCTCTCAGTCTGGCAGGCACTGGTATCAGCAGTATCAACATGGCCCTAGAGATCAACGGGGTGGTCTACACTGGTATGGGTCCTGCGGGCTGTTTCTGTTTGCATGAGGTCAGGGGTATTTATGCCGGCATGGAAGTTTTAGACTTTCTCTACTAGCATGAGGTTCAGGGATACCCAAACCTGCATGGGTAACATGGGGTTCAGGGGATCGCTACACTGGCCTGGATTAAAGGGGGTGTCTATATGGCATGGGGTCCAAGGCATGACCTCTCTGGCATGAATACCATGGGATGTCTCATCATGGGGTCGTGTATCAGTGTAAATGTTTCTTGTTTACGTGTTGGAGGGTATCTATATTGGCACAAGAGTCTCTAACTGACTCAAGGGGCTTGTCCTCATTGGTTGTGACAGGGCTCTGTGTGTGATGTTCTAGCAATCAGGACACTGACTTTTGTTTCCCTCTTCTATTTCTTTGCCTTACCTTTTCCTGCTTGTCTTTGCCCTCTACCAATTCCTCATCTCTTTGCTAGGTGTCCTCTTTGCCCGTCGCCAGCCTGTACCAGCTTCCCAGGGCCCAACCAACCCTGCACCCCCACTCCCGACAGGGCCCCCTTCCAGCACCTCACCCTGAGAACTCTTACTTGAAATTGAGAGTCCCAACCCCATTGCTGAGGAGGGAAGGAGACCCATTCTTCCAGGGTGCCCATTCTAGGACCCAGCCCTGAGAGGTGACCACTACCCACCCGCGCCCCACCCCCCCGACTGCCATATGGACTTGAAGCCAAAGAGATTTCTTTTGATGTTACATCTACCTCATTGTAAAAGGAGGGCCCTTCCTCCCTGGCCAACTCCAGCAGCATCTACCAAAGAGTTCTTCCCCCAATAATAAGAGTTCTTTCCATCATCTCCTCATGTGCTCCCCTGTGCCAATGTCATCTCTAGAACTCCACCTCTTTGAGTCAGACCTGCTTCTCTTCAGGAGCCAGGTGAAGGGATGGGTTGGGTTGTTGTGAAGGAGATGTCCCTCGGTTCATATCTGGATAATAAAGCTGCGATCCCTCCCTCTCCAGTGCCTCCTCTCCTTGTTTGGGTCTGTGGGTTGGGGAGGAAGAGGAATTATGTGGTATACACAGGCTGTGTTGGGCCAGGGGTTTTCAGAGGGGAAGAAAGAATAGCAAAGGCCATGAATAGGAGAACTCAGTCTCATGAATCAAACTGCCTGAGTTCAAATCCCGATCCTGCCACATCTGTACAGTGTTGAGTGTTCTTAGGCAAGACGCTTAATCGCTTGAACCTTAGAAGATTCCAAAGGATTCCAAAAGTATCTGACGGGACTACCTACTATTCTATGGGAATGGACCAATCTTACAATAATGGGTATATTTATATGTGCAGCCTCGGGGAAAGGGCAGGGGAAATCTCTTTGGTAACCTGGAATTGGAAGAAGAGAGGCAAAGTTCGTCTTGACAAGCAGGGGCTGGAAATTAGCGCCTGACAGGTAGCCGTTGCCTAGGTTACCAGGCAGCTTTTCGTTGGCCTGCCTGCCACTTCCGCATCGAAGGGCTGAATCATGGCGTCATTTCCTGTATGCATGGGCTCCCGTCCACTCGGATTGGCCCGCCTTCTCTATTTGGACGGATGTCCTACCCTCTGGCTATTCCTAGCTGAGGCGGGGCAGCGGGAGCCATGGCGGCCGTGACCGATGTTCAGCGGCTACAGGCCCGTGTGGAGGAGCTGGAGCGCTGGGTGTACGGACCAGGCGGGTCTCGCGGCTCGCGGAAGGTGAGCTATTTTGGGTCCAGTGGTCCCTCTTTGGGGCAAAGCAAGAGTGGCCTATTGGCCTGGTCCTGCAGATGGATGCTGCAGCTCCAGCCCCGTTGCTCGCAACTAGGCTATTGAAATAGCAAAGGTCCGAGACCTCCCAGAGCATATCGGACCCTCGGGATCCATTCCCATGGAGGGAACTCTGGGCTTGAGGTGGGCTCAAAGATGAGACTCCGTCTTTACCCTCGCGGGATGGTTGGGGAGACCGGACACACGCGAGAAACTGACTAATGAGTAAGAGCCGAAGTCACAGTGAAAGGGACGTTGTGGAGCCTTGCCTAATTCCTAAGTGAATTGTGCAAAGAGAGGTCCATGGAACCCCAAAAGAGGCAGACCAGAGATGGATAAGGAAGGCTCCAGGGAGTTAGGGATGAAGTCTGAGAGGGCCAGGATTAGGAGGGGAAAGGAGTGAATACTAGGTGTTCTGCTATAGGCTTACAGTCCTTCCCTCTAGTGGCTGAATTTTGACAGCTCACTTCCCGTCCATCCCCGTTTTTAACTATGGAAAGACCTTTCACTGAAGGTGGCTGTATCGGGCATACCCTGGAGTTAAGTGCCTCAGAGGTAATGACGTCCATTTGTACACTGCTTGTGGTATTAGTTGTCACTAGATTGTGTCCTGTTTGAGAACTGACTTCTCAAAACATTTTTTCCCTTTGTCATCTATAATGCAAATCCTCCTGATTTTCCTCCTGTCTCTCTGGCTGCTTTTACTCAGTAAGATTGCCAGGAGAAATATCAATAACTTCAGATATGCAGGTGACACCACCCTTATGGCAGAAAGTGAAGAAGAACTAAAGAGCCTCTTGATGAAAGTGAAAGAGGAGAGTGAAAAAGTTGGCTTAAAGCTCAACATTCAGAAAACTAAAATCATGGCATCCGGTCCCATCACTTCATGGCAAATAGATGGGGAAACAGTGGAAACAGTGGCTAACTTTATTTTTCTGGGCTCCAAAATCACTGCAGATGGTGATTGCAGCCATGAAATTAAAAGATGCTTGCTCCTTGGAAGGAATGTTATGACCAATCTAGACAGCATATTAAAAAGTAGAGACATTACTTTGCCAACAGAGGTCCATATAGTCAAGGCTATGGTTTTTCCAGTGGTCATATATGGATGTGAGAGTTGGACTATAAAGAAAGCTGAGCACAGAAGAATTGATGCTTTTTTTTTTTTAACTGATGCTTTTGAACTGTGGAGTTGGGGAAGACTCGTGAGAGTCCCTTGGACTGTAAGGAGATCCAGTCAGTCCATCCTAAAGGAGATCAGTCCTGGGTGTTCATTGGAAGGACTGATGTTGAAGCTGAAACTCCAGTACTTTGGCCACCTGATGGGAAGAGCTGACTCATTGGAAAAGACCCTGATGCTGGAAAAGATTGAGGGCAGGAGGAGAAGCGGATGACAGAGTATGAGATGGTTGGATGGCATCACTGACTCAATGGACATGGGTTTGGGTGGACTCTGGGAGTTGGTGATGGACAGGGAGGCCTGGCATGCTGTGGTTCATGGGGTCGCAAAGAGTCCGACACGACTGAGCGACTGAACTGATTTGCCTCCTCATATATTTGATCCTTGAATATCGGCATTCCTTACCCTCTAATCTAAAACCTGTGTGAGATCATTCACTTTCATAGTCTCTCCCTCTATTCAACACTTTAATACTGGAATTCCTCACCCTCTACCCTTAAAGCCTAGATCAGTTCAGCCAAGAGGAAGGGATCAGTGAATATATAGTATGTGCTAGTGCCACATAAACCCTAAGTAGTTCATTACTTCCCCAGTCACATGAAACTCCCCGAGGAGTACATGATTATCTACCCCTTCATACTGAGGATTCCCAGAAGGTGGAGTTGGATCTCTTAATACAAGAGAAGGGGGTCATTGCAGGTACAAGGAAGTTTGGAGTCTGAGGAAATGAAGATTCTTTATCTCTTCCAAGCCTTGAGCCAAGTGGTAAATCTTGGAATTAACTTCCACTCCCCTTATAGGTGGCTGATGGCCTGGTCAAGGTGCAGGTGGCTTTGGGGAACATCGCCAGCAAGAGGGAGAGGGTGAAGGTTCTGTACAAAAAGAGTAAGTGTTTCCATGAGGTGCCTGCCTGCCCTCCTTCTCAAGCCTATGCCTTCTGTTTCCCTGCCCAGGCTGTTAAGCCCAATAGGTCACTGGAGTTTCCCTTTGGGGATAGCAGGTGAAGACATTTTCCTGATGAAATGGTGGATTGGGGTAGGCTTTCTACTTTGTGGTTAAACCCCAAGCCCATGGCAATGTCATAAGTTATGAGATAAGAGCTCTGCCTGAAAGTCCGCTGGGGAAAGAGAGAGGAGGAGTATGAAATTTCCATAGGCAAGGTTCAGGGGCAGGAAAGAAATCAGGCACTGAGAACCCCAGCCTTGGCTCAGCCAGGCCTTTTTGATTATGTCAGAGCTAGCAACCTGTTCAGTAACTAGAAATCAGATAAAGTTCTGGCATGTCTTGGTGGCACAGAGGGGCAAGGTATTACCTTCTACCCTTGAAGATAGATCAGTGAAAATGCTGAGGGCCCCAGGGTATTGCAGGCAACTGTGTTCCCAGCTGTAAAGTCTGACTCTGGCCAGCAGGATGGTTAGATAGCATCACTGATTCAATGGACATGAATCTGAGCAAACTCCCGGAGATAGTGAGGGACAGGGAAGCCTGGCATGCTGCATTTCATGGGGTCCAAAGAGTCGGACACAACTTAGTGACTGAACAGCAGGTGATCAGAGGGAAGAGACAGGGAAGTGGGATGGGGGCCTGGTGGACCCTGTGGGTATCAGTTCCTCACTCAAGGCTCTCCCCAAGGCTGACCCTTCCCCTGATATCCTTCCTTCACAAGAATGATCCCCACTCCCCCACGTTATTCCATTTTCCATCTTGTTACTTTTCTAGTTGAAGACTTGATCAAATACCTGGATCCTGAGTACATTGACCGCATTGCCTTACCTGATGCCTCCAAGCTGCAGTTCATCTTGGCAGGTAGTGCTGGATAGGATGTGCACATGCATCTGGGGGAAGTTGGGCACAGAGATGGCCTCCCTCTCAGTCCTCTCCTGGATGCAGCCCGGGAAGCTAATCTCTGGAATCTGGACTGAGGCTGGAGGTGGACTTGTGGTCCTCTTGTAGGCACTGGGTACAGTACACCCTGGAGCCAGCTGCAGACCAGAGTGCCAGCCACTGTGGAGGTGACTCCAGTGTTCTGTCTGTGGCATGCCTCTAGGATTTTCCTTCAGAACCTTCCTTACTTCTGCTCAGTAGACATAGAGCTTCTAGGAAAGGGGGGGGGGGGGCAGAGAGCATTGCTGTGGGAGAGATGAGGATATAAGCATGGGTTTCAGCATCTTGCAGGTGGGAAAGTGCTGGGATTTCAGAGTTCTAGACAGGAACTATTGTCTTAGCAATGTTTGCTTATCAGTTAGTTAGCTACTCCACGAGGTATGGTTTGCCATCACCTGTGTTTGTTCATGCATTCAAGTGCTCATCAGGTGTGGTCCGGACTATCCTAGGTGTGAGGTATACAGCGGTGAACCAGAACATCCCTGAACCATTGCTGTGGCTCAGGCACCGTTCAGGAGGTCTTCCCCTGCACTGATTCTTGAGTCCAGCCTCTCCACCCCTCCCTGTGGCACTGTCTTGGTGTTCATCCCCTGGCACTTGAACAGTTTCCTAAGTCCTCTTCTTTTTTATTTATTTGGTTTTTTTTTTTCTTTCTTCTTCTTTTTTTTTTTTCCCTTTGCTTATTCCTAAGTCCTCTTCTTGACCCTAGTTTCCCACTTCTTGCATGTGGCTCACTGTCATCTTCCCCAAACACATTTTCAGCATGCCACAGTGTTTACTTTGGAACCTCAGCATGTGTGTATCTTTCTCTTCCTACTAGAATAAATTCCTAATTCCTTAGCCTACCATTCAAAGCTCCCTATAGACTGCCGAATCTCCCCTCCCATTTAGCTGTTTCCTGTGCTCTCCTTGCTCCAGTTCAGCCAATTGAATTCTTTTTCCTCTACTGATTGACATGCATTCTTGCCATCAGATGACTGACATAACAGTCCTCCCTTCTTGAATGCCCTTCCCACTCTGCAGTCATTGAAACCCCCTGTGCACAGGGCCATCGCAGTCCTGCTGCGCTTGTCACTGGACTCTCCTCTTAGTGTCCCAGCTCTCCGGGAACTTGTAATTGTGCCTCTGTGATCCACTGAGCACTACCTGCCTGGTATCTTCCACAAGTCTCCTCTTTCAGACCTTTCCAGGAGCTCTTGAGTACTTAATGTCTGAAGTACTTTGTCTCCTGTGGCCTAGGAGGGGCTCTCTGAATTTGTGGATAGGAGGCTAGAGGGAGAGGCCTCAGAGTTAAGACTTGGAGAAAGGTTGGATTTGGAGGCATTTAGAGGCTCTTGGGCTCAAGATAGTTCAGACCAATGGCATCCAGGAGAGGTGGAGGCAGACTGGGGGAGTGTGCACAGAAAGAAGGGGGCAGTGGGCAGAGTGGCTGCCCCCGGCTCCAGGTCTCAGCCCTCTCCCTGGCCTGGTCCCCAGCTCCTCGCCTGGGAGTGGCCGTGCCTGGGCCGCCTCACTGCTGCTCTCTTGTCTGTTCATGCCGCAGAGGAGCAGTTCATTCTCTCGCAGGTTGCACTTCTGGAGAAGGTGGACGCTCTGGTGCCCATGCTGGACAGCACTCACATCAAAGGTACCTTCTGGGGTTGCATCTCCTCTGCTCTACGTGGGGAGGTCGGTGGATGGGCAGGACTTCCCTGGGCTCAGACTGGCTCTGCTCCTTATCTTTACCCTCACCTGAGGGTACTGGCCACCTGCACTGGGATTAAAATTGCCAGGGCAGAGAGCTCAGCTTCAGAACTCGGGCAGTTTGGCCCTAAGGACACTCAGGTAAGCCCAGTGGCCTCCCACTCTAGGATTCCTTCTGTTTTCTACCCCACCCCTCAGCATCTGTCCTTCAGGGTGTTGCAGGGGCCAGGTTTTACTGTAAGAGTTCCTGCGGGGGCTGGGGGGGGGGGGTGTGAATGTGTGTGAATTCTTCCTGCATGCCTAGGGCAGTCCCTGGGCCAGGATTTTGACAAGCAGACAGTGACTTTAATTGAATCCAGATATCCATCTTGTCTGTCTCTGGAGGTATTTTTCCCAGCTCCCCCTCCATACCCCTGATCAGTTTCCTGCTGAGCATCTGACAGCCTTAAGCTGTGGGCCCAGCATGGTGGCTGAGGCTCTGGGTGTTGGGTTCCAGGTGACCAGCTTAGGGACCTTGCCTTTGTCCTCAGCCCACCTGCAGGCTCCCTGTTCCCTGGGCCAGGCAGCTCTGGTCCCGCTGAGCTGAGAGCAAAGGAACAGATCCTATAATAATCAAAGCTTTCGTTACCTGCCCTGCTCACAACACTGGGGTGGGTATATGGGGCAACTCCAGGAACCCCAAGGTTTTGTCTTCCAAGGGCCTGTATCTTCCCCTCCCCTTTGGGTCCTAGACTAGGAACTGGGGTGGGCAGGGAGCCCCACCACCACCACCTCTGGCTGCAGTGGTCGATGAAGCTGGCGTTTGTTTAGCTTCTCCACTCAATACTCTAATCCTGCTGAAGACCTAATAGACTATTGAGCAGTCCCAGGGGAAGGCAGCAGCATCACTGGGCAGCGTGCGTTGTGTTTTACAGCCGTTCCTGAGCATGCTGCCCGCCTGCAGCGCTTGGCCCAGATCCACATCCAGCAGCAGGTACGGGAGGGGAGAGGCCAGGTGGGAAAGTAGAGGTAGTGAGGCTCCTTGTCCCCACCTCTGCCTCCTGGGGAAGTAGCCTCAGGAGCTGATGTCAGCTTCAGGGGAAACTTAGGATTTCTCCTTTGTCTTGCATGCACCTTCCAGAGGGGAAGGGACTTGCCTAGGGTAAAATCTAGGCCTCCTGCCTCCCAGAATAGGACTATCCTGAGACACCAGAAGATTGATGTTGGGAGGTACCCAGGAATTCCTGGGGATGATGTGTCCTTGACCATAGGTGGAGGAGCTGTTTTTTTCACTATTGCCAGGCTCTAGTGTGAAGTTCAAAGAGGGTTCAGATAATAGGGGACAGGGTAGAAGGAGGCATATACCAGTAGGAATAGGTCTTTAAATGTGTGGTTTGCTCCCTCTTCCATCAGCCTCAGGACTGCAGTTAGGCTACCCATGGCAGAGCCTGAAAGTGCCTCTTTAGAAATTTGCTCCTTTTAGCTCTGAGGTTAAACATCACCTTTTCTGAGGAGCGAGGGTCCCTGATGAGGCAGGCAGTGGGGAGTGTGGACTCTGTCTAACGCCTTTCTTTGCCCCACCTTGGCCCCACAGGACCAGTGTGTGGAGGTCACTGAGGAGTCCAAGGCTCTCCTGGAGGAATACAACAAGACTGTATCCTTTCCGCTCAGCTGGGTCCCTGAGGAGTGCTGTATGGAGCCTGGCCTTTTACTCCAGTCCTAGTTCTGTCTCTCATCCCATCCCAACCAGTCTGTGTGTCCCCCAGCTCCCCCTGCCTTGAGGAAAGGCAGACATCTCTCTTCTCCCTCTCATTCTCATTGCCACCTTGACCTGTGACCAGACCATGCTTCTCTCCAAGCAGTTTGTGCAGTGGGATGAACTTCTCTGCCAGCTAGAAGCTGCCAGGCAGGTGAAGCCTGTGGAAGAGTGAATGGTGCTTCCCATCCCAGGGTGGGCTGGGGCAGCCAGGCTCCAGGACCTGTGCCAGCCTGCCCTTGTAACAGAGCAGAAGAGAGGTGGCTCTGTATTTATTGGATTCAAGACCTACCTGGTTTCACTCAGGTGGGGCTCTGAGGTCAGAGATCTGGTTACTTGAGATTTGCTCTTTGCACCTCCTCCCTTCATCAGCGTCCTGTTCCAATGACAATAAAACTGTAGAGACCACTTCAGTAGTGTGTTAGCTTTCTGGTCTTGGATGGGTATGGTGGTGGGGATGAGGGTGATGGAGTCCAGAGTTGTCCATCTTCCTAGGAGTTGGACCACCAGCTATACTCATCCTAGTCTAGCTTTCTGGGAGATATAGAGCTCTCAGGATGAATGCTGTCATTTGCTTGATGTGAGTGGAACATTTGGTTTTGTATCCATTTATCCCACATTTACCAAAGTGAAAGTGAAGTCACTCAGTCATGTCCGACTATTTGCGACCCCATGGACTGTAGCCTACCAGGCTTCTCCGTCCATGGGATTTTCCAGGCAAGAATACTGGAGTGGGTTGCCATTTCCTTCTCCAGGAGATCTTCCTGACCCAGGGATTGAACCCAGGTCTCCCACATTGTAGGCAGACACTTTACCATCTGAGCCACCAGGGAAGTCCAGCATTTACCAAGTACACTGTAAATGTCAGATGCCAAACCAGGTGGGGAGGTCACAGGTAGGGTCCACCTGCCCTGTACAGGATAGCTGGGGAAACAGTCATGGAGAAGGGGAGGAAGCCATGTGGCACCAGGTTCTCTGGGGGCACAGAAAAAAAAAAGCAATGTGGCAGGTAGCCCTGGAGAGTGATATGCAGGGTCTTTGAGAACCAAGGGAGCAGCACGTGCAAAGGAGAGGGGAGCCTCTATGTTGCTTTCCTGGTGCTATGAGAAGAGAAGGGGAGCCTAAAAGAGGATGCAGAGGGCTTTGGGCCGGGGGCCAGGCGGGGCGGTGGTGTGGCTGGAAAGGAGGGAGAGTTGGCATATTAAAGGGCAGAGAAACCGAGGGCATCTCACTCCACCAGGTGTTTGCTGTCCTCTTGTGGTCTCTGGGACTGCTGCGGCTCCAGGCCCCTTTACGTCGGCCTGCCTGCCACCGTACCGGTGCGGTCTTACTGGCATCTCAAATCCAATACGTCTGAAACTCTGAGCCATCCTAGACTCTTCCCTCCTCCATCCATCTGAACAGTCGCCAAACCCACCTCGTAGTATCTTCCAACTTAATTTACTTTCCCTCATTCCCACTGCTGTTTCTCTGGCTCATTCTTTCAACAAATGCTTTAACAAATATTCGAGCACTTACTATAGGCGGGGCAACTTAAGAAGCACCGCTGACATGGCCCTGGGACAGGCGGCCAGGAGTCACCAGAGGGAGACTTGAGAGCTGCGCACACGAACAGGTTTGACCTGCGCCTTGCTGAGAGCCCCCCCCCCGTGGTTCGCCAGTGCCCACAGTTCAGTTCAGTTCAGTTCAGTCGCTCAGTCGTGTCCGACTCTTCGCGACCCCATGAATCGCAGCACGCCAGGCCTCCCTGTCCATCACCAACTCCCGGAGTTTACTCAAACTCATGCCCATCGAGTCGGTGATGCCATGCAGTCATCTCATCCTCTGTCGTCCCCTTCTCCTCCTGCCCCCAATCCCTCCCAGCATCAGGGTCTTTTCCAATGAGTCAACTCTTCGCATGAGGTGGCCAAAGTATTGGAGTTTCAGCTTCAGCATCAGTCCTTCCAATGAACACCGAGGACTGATCTCCTTTAGGATGAACTGGTTGGATCTCCTTGCAGTCCAAGGGACTCTCAAGAGTCTTCTCCAACAGGGTGAAGTTAAAGTTCAGAACTCGGTGATCAAGGCTCTCGCGCCCGCAGCAGCCACATCACCCGGCACCACTAGCTCCGGTCCAAAGAGAAACCCGCCACTCTGCCTCTGCTACCGCGGTGTGCTCAGCAGGTAACGCCCGCCCTGCATCTTCTAAGGGCCGAATCCTCCGCATGCTTCCGATCCGGACTTCGGACGCGGGACTCCTCGTCTGGCCGCTCCTCTCCCCCGCAGCGCTCTCTCAGCTCGCAAAGCAGTGCTCCTTGCCCGGGGCAGAACAGCGAAGACACCCCGCGTGCTGCGGGTCGGCGAGTCCCGGGCCAGCTCACTCCCCAGCGTCCCGCACCTCTCAGTTTGCGAACCCGGCCCCTCAGGCCCCGCCCCGTCCGGCGTGCGCGGCCCCGCGACCTCGGCGCGCTCTCGGCCCGCGCCATCTTGGCTTCAGATCGAGCGTAGGGAGTGCGCGGCCGCGGCGGTGAGAGCCGGAGCCCTGCGGGGCGGGGGCGCCTGGAGGTGCGAGGAGGAGAGGGGAGACTGAGTGCTGGGCCTCTGCGGTGGCCCGTGGGGACGGCGGAGCCTGGCCTCTCGCGGCCCCGACGCCAGGGGTGGCCCGAGCCTCTGCTTCCCAGTGTCTGAGGGACACTAGGTTGGGGGGATCGACCCTGGAATCTCTGGATGAAAGAGGGGTGCCCGGCCCTGTCCTTGGGGTCCAGGAGTTGGGGAGGGGATCGTTTCTGTCTTTGAGGAGCTTTTGGATGAGGGCTCTTGACTCCGTTTGGGGGAGCATGGGGTGTGGGGGGGAGGGCTTGGCCCTGACCTCTGGTAGCACGAAATGAGGCGCCTTCGCCCTGTCACCCCGTGGGGAGACCCGGGTGAGGAGCACTCAGCCTTGTGCTCGTGGAGTCTCGGGTGAGGGCCCGGACCCAGTCCGCGGGAGCCCTAGATGAGGAAGGTTCATTCCCAGTGCCAGGGAGCTAGAGATGGAGGGGCTTGGCCGGTGTTCAGGGTCGGTGGAGGGTCATGGCCCTGTCCAGAGGACTGGGGTACATCCCCGCCTAGGGGGAGGCAAGCATGACCCCTTGTCCTGGGGATGAAGGGTTTAAGGTCCCATTTCTGGGAGATCTGGGCGGAGCAGCGCCCTAGGGAGGCAGGGTGGCGGTGGCCTGGGACACAACGCCCACGATCCTCTGACTTCCTGCAGCAGGGCAGCGAGGCGGACGCGACAGCAGGCTGGATGGAGCATTACCGGAAAGCTGGCTCTGTGGAACTCCCCGCACCTTGCCCGATGCCCCAGCTGCCTCCTGATACCCTGGAGATGCGGGTCCGAGCTGGCAGCAAGATCCGCAACCTCTTGGGCCTGGCGCTGGAGCGGCTGGAGGGCGGCAGCGCTCGCCACGTCGTCTTCTCAGGCTCTGGCCGCGCTGCAGGCAAGGCTGTCAGCTGTGCTGAGATTGTAAAACGGCGGGTACCAGGCTTGTACCAGCTTACCAAGCTGCGCTTCCTGCAAACCGAGGACAGCTGGGTGCCTGCCTCACCTGACACAGGCCTGGATCCCCTCACGGTCCGCAGCCATGTGCCTGCAGTGTGGGTGCTGCTGAGCCGAGACCCCCTGGACCCCAATGAATATGGCTACCAGCCCCCCGGGGCACCCCCTGACCTCGGGCCCACACCTGCCTCCAGCTGTGGCCCTCAGCCTAGAAGAAGGGCTCGCGATACCCGGTTCTGACGACCTGTGGGCAAGCTGTTGTCTAGACTGAGTGTCTAGGATGGCTGTACCTGTGAGAAGACTCTAACTGCTCAAGGTTTCCAACAAAACTTGAGTTTACAGAAGCGGGCCTCCCTGTCCTGCTTCCCCCTTCCCGCTGGCTCCTGGAAAGGGACTTTTGTGATGAGTGACAGGTGTGGAAAAAGTAACATCCCAAGTCAGTGTGTAGGTCAACTTGCCACAGCATAAATAAAATACAATATTATGTAGAGAAAGAAGAAGGGTTACTTGCCTTCTATATACAGTGCCTCTCATCTGTCTTCTGACAGAGATCCAAGGAGTAAGTGAGGAAATAAAGTCTCTGTCCGTTTGTCTGGTGAACCTCTGCTTGGCCTGCTGTGTGGAAGTGGGATTAAGGAAGCGGGAGGGCTCCTGCCCTTGACCCCCAGGAGCTCCCAGTCTGGAGACAGGAAAAGTAGGTTCATATGGGTGCTGGGAGGATCTGGACTGAAGAAGAAGCCTCAAGCAGTAACCTGACTGTCTAGATCCCTGGGTGGCTGTCTGCTTCCTGTTTGGGGCTGGTTGAAGGACTCTGCATTCTTCTCCACTTGCAGCATAGAGACATACCTCGTTTTGTTGCACGTCGCAGATACTACATTTCTTAAATAAGAAGTGAAGTTTTGTGGCAACCCTGCATTGGACAAGTCTGGCAGCGCCATTTTTCTAACAGTGTTCACTTCGTGTCTCTGTCACATTTTGGTAATTCTCAAAATATCTCACACTTTTAATTATTATATTTGTTATAGTGATCTATGATGTTACTACAGTAACTCAGTGAAAGCTCAAATGATGGTTAGCATTTTTTAGCAATAAAATATTTTAAAATTAAGGTATGTATGTAGATTGTTTTTTAGACATAATTCTGTCACATTCATAATAGACTACAGTATAGGTAAACATAACTTTTTTAAGCACTGGGAAACCAGTAAACTTCTGTGGCTTGCACTATAGAGATCTTCCTTTTATTGAGGTGGTCTGGAACTGAACCCAAAATGTCTCTGAGGTATGCCTGTATTACAGTATAGTGGTTGAGATCATGGCTTTGGTCACCAGACTACCTGGATTTGAATCCTGGTTCTGCCACTTACTAGGAAGTTACTGCTCTGTGCTTTAGTGTTCTTATCCATAGAACAAGATGTAGGGCTTGCTTCATAGGATTGTTATGAGGATTAAATGTAGAAATATACATGATTCTTAGATACCACCTGGGCCTGTATACCCTCAGCTCTCCATATCTGTGGATGGAGAACTCGTGGATACAAAGGGCTGACTGTACTCCACCTTTTTATTTAAGGGACTTGAATATTTTGGTAAAAAGAAATCAACGGGGGCTCCTAGAGCCAGTTCCCCCGAGGATACCGAGGGATGACTGTAAATGTTCATTGCCCTCATTATTAATAAGTCAGCTTACAAACATGCTTTTTCCTTAAAAACATAACCTCAATTCCACATTCCCCCTTCAGTTCTCACCCTTTTTATCCCTAGCAGTTCCTCTTCTGTCTCACCTTGGCTGTAGACTCAGGGTTACCATGGACAGGTCAGGAGCATAAGGAGCAGTGAAGATTGCAGTGGTGGCCAGGAGGCTACCGGAACCAGAGTAGGATTGTGGGCAGTAGTGGACTCAGTGAAGAGTTGAGCAAATGGGGTCTTCCACTGGATTTTATGTTCTCCATTGTGTCCACAGCTTGGGTGTCCAATCACTAGGCAAGCACAAAGTGTGGACTCATGGGACCATGTAGCAGGGTGGGCACAGCAGTTGGAGGGTGTTGAAGTGATGTCTGGCTGAGTCAAGGCAGGTGGGGTTGAAATATTGGGAGAGATGGAGTTAGGGAACTGGAGGCCTCAATAAGGGCTTAGAACAGGCATGAGGGGACCACAGGACCAGCAGGCTGTGGTCAAAACTTGGAACACTGCATCTCTTTCTTTCTAGGGTAAGTTGCCCAGAGTGGAGGGGTGAGAGATGAAGATTCAGGGCATACTAGGAAAGACAGAAAAACCCTCTGCAGCTTCCCAGCTGGGCCTCTCAACTGCAGAAGGTCATGAAGCATCTGATACCATCCTAATGGCTGTGGTCCTGACTCGGTGTCTTGCTACCAGCAACTGCCTGACTTACACTCTGTGTCTAATTCACGTTTTTTGCTCCCGCTCAGCTTCTCCATCTTGCCATTTCTCTGAACATCCCTACTTCTGTGTCCTTTACCATCAGTAGCTCCCTGTGTATCATCGGTCCCCAGAGATTTGGGACCAGGCTTCTTGCAGACTATTGATCTTTGGCTCAGCATCCCATCTTGATCCAGTGTGTGGCGGCCAGGGTGGAAAGTGCATGTGAACCAAGCGTGGTGACTATGTTGAGGGAGTGATTCAGTAAGGCAGCATCATAGGCTCTGGGATTCCCAGGATGGACTCCCCACTGAGCAGCTCCTCATTAAGGCACCACCTGGGGTCTTGATGATGGCAGGGGGATGTGGAGGGAAACTGAGCTGCAGTCAAATCCCTTAAGAAGAACAGGATCTGCCACTACTCAGAGAATCAGGAAATAGGACACAGGCTGAAGGAGCAACAGCTAGTGAATCTGGGGCCTTTTCCCTCCTTGGCCACTGAAGGGGCCCAAGTGAGGAATGGCAGGGAGGGAGCCAGAGTGAGGCCTTTAGAATCAGAAAGCCTGACCAAGCTTAGGAGGGAGGGAGCATAAGTGCTACGTACATTTGCCAATTCAATTTCTTCTCACTTTCTACTTAATTCACTGTAATAGAGCTTCTTCCTCCATAATCTCTTAGCACAAAAGGTAGGGAAGTGGAGATACCTTTTTCAACAAACTATTGTGATGGGAGGCGAGAGATGATTCGGGGATACAGAGAGTTTTATTTGTTTATTTTTAATAAATTAGCAGAGACTAGTTTGTAGGCTGATGGGGGAAGCCAGTAGGGGAAGGAATGGAGATGCATGAGATTGTGGCTAATTCAGACTCCTGGGGGCGATGAAAGGGAATGGGTCTTCAAGTGGGGAGGTACGGGCCTCCCAAGGGGCAGAGGAGAGATGTCTGCCTGTAGCAGGAGGGACAGAGTTGATGCAGGTGGGTATAGAGGTAAAGGTGAGACACAAGGGAATTCAGAGTTCAGAGGCTTCTAATCTCAAAGCAGGAGTCCAGCTCTGCTGCTGAGAGTGGACCTAGGAGGCTGGTGGAGAGTTGTTTCAACTGGGGAAGACAGCTAGTGAGGTTCGGGAGGGTGCCCAGCCAGGGCTGGGAGCCCAGATGAGGTTGGTGACCATGACCTTGTAATATCTTCAGTCAGGGTGCACTCCAGCAGTACCCCCAGGTCAAGTGAAGACTCAGGAAGCAGGAATAGTGAGACTGGCAAGAGAGTGTATGTGAAGAAGTTCCAAGGAATCCAATCTAGGTTGGGAAAGAAGTGCAGATAGAAAGGGGCAGGGGTCAGTGGCCTAGAAGTCCTTATAAAAATGGGGTGGAGTGAGGTGGAGTATGTCAGAGAAGTGGGACAGTGTCATATGCTTCCCTGGTGGCTCAGAGGGTAAAGCGTCTGCCTGCAGTGCGGAAGACCCAGGTTCGATCCCTGGGTCAGGAAGATCCCCTGGAGAAGGAAATGGCAACTCACTCCAGTATTCTTGCCTGGAGAATCCCATGGACAGAGGAGCCTGGTAGGCTACAGACCACGGGGTCACAAAGAGTTGGACACAACTGAGCGACTTCACTTTCAGTTTCATCATAGTGGTACCAGTTTCTAGGGCACCCATAACAAAGGACCACCAACTGGGTGGCTTAGAACAACAAAACTGTTCTGTCTCACAGTTTTGGAGACTAGACTCCCCAAATCAAGATGTCAGAGCCATTTCCCTCCGAAACCTGCCTGAAAATCCTTCCTTAATGCTTCCTAGCATCCGGTGTGCCGACAGTCTTTGGTCTTGGCCTTCGGCCGCTTTCGTCTTCACATTGTCTTCCCTTTGTGTCTATTTCTGTCTCCAAATTTCTCCTTTTTATAAGGACGCCAGTCATATTTGATTAGGGCCCATCCCAATGGCCTCATTTTAACTTACCTCTGTAAAGATCCTATTTTCAAATAAGGTCACATTGTGAGGTACTAAGGGTTAGGACTCCAACATATTTATGGAGGGATGCAATTCAACACTTTATAGTAGCCAAAGGATGAAATGAAATCAGTGAGTTTGAGAGTTTTAGGATCTAGCAGGACTTGATATTGGGCATGAGGGTAGATATCTGGTGGTCTAGAGGGAAAGTCACTGAAGATGAGGTTGAATTTAAGAGGCTGGGGAGGGCGATCATGGGTATGTTGAGGAGGCGGAAGCATCCAAGATAGAATGTGCTGAGCATTTTCACTACCTGCCTTTGAGGTGGCGTTCAAGCGAGTCCCCAGGGACTTCAGAACAATATGACCGAAGGAGGTGTATACCTCCCACCTGGCAATTTTGCTTCCCAGGTCTCTCCATTCCCACAGACTCTGGTGATTTGTGCCCATGGTTGTCTTGCAACAGTCTCCTTGCTAGTCTCCCTGCTTCACTCCCCTCTGAGCTCTCCAAGAGGGAACTGGCTGTTCCCTTTGTTTGGAATGCCCTGCCAGATACCTGTATGGCTATCTCCCTGCCTCCTTTAAGGCTTTGCTCAAATGTCACCTCAGTGAGGCCTGTTTTGACCACTCCATTTAAAACTGCAGTCGAGCACCTCTGATCTCCCTTACTCTGCCCTTTTTCTTCTTACTTCCATGGCACAGTTCGTCTTTGACTCAGTCCCCTTGGACCCTGGGCCCTGGCCACACTAACTCCTCACTCTTCCCACTTGTCATGAGATTTTTCTACTTCTGAGCCATTGGTGTTGCCATTCTTTCTGCTTAGAGCTCATCAAGATTTTTCAAAGGACACCAGTGGCACTCCCTGTTCAGAGCCTAGCTCCTCACTCTCCACCATTTGCCTGGAGCTCCAGGATCAGT